TATCTGGTCTATGTGGAAGGAGTCATTGACCTTAGGGGCCCTGCTTCTTTATCTCTGCTTTCTGTTTCCATGGGCATCCGTTCAGGAATTAGAGTTCTGTGCAGTTCTTCCTAGCTGAGAAACCCTGAGGAATCCCAATCTGTGCACAATTTCCCAAGTCTGACACGTTGTCTGAAATAATAAAAGTAGTATTTGTCATCACGTAGACGGATCCCTTTCAATCTGCCCATTCATTTCAGACCAAGGAGCACATTTTATGGTATGGGAACAAACAATATTTTATGCTAGAGAGAAGTCAGGAAAAGGAACAGTTTTGATTGGTAACTCCAAAAAGGCTTTTTTTAAACAAGTGACATTTAAGCTGAGAAATGAAGGAGTGGGTGTGAGATTTGCATGGGGGAGGCAAAGGCATGTTTCAGGCAAAGAAGAACATTTGGGAAACCTTAGAGGGAGCAGGAAGCAGGCACCTTAGAGGAACTAAAATAAAACAAAGGGTCTCTCCCAGTGAAATAGCGAATACAAAACCAAAACAAGTTGGAAGAGCAGAGCGGTTGCGCCAATTAAGTAGGTTCTTGCAGGCCACATACAGGGTGTGGGATTTTATAACAAGAAAGTAGAAAGTTATTGGAGAGATTTAAGAGGGGAAAATCAGACTTACTTTAATTTCTGCATTTTATATAATGTTCGATTCCTGATGGAAAATATTTCAGCTGGTTGAATTACAATACATGGAGGTTCAGTTGCAAATGTATTAATAGCTACATTGCAGACATGAGTCTGGGGGCTTATTCATGTGTACAGAAGAAGTCCAAGGTCTATGCAGATAGTTAAGGACATTGAAAAAAAGAATCAAAATGTCCTATCTATTCACGAAAGTTTTGATTGATCTGAGAATACAGATGCTAACTCAGTTAATTTCTTTATAGCCAAGAGCTCCAGAAATCGACACATGAGTTGAAAAGTTCTTCAGTCACCGGCTTCATACATCAGTTGTTACTCACACAGCCTTACCTGTGTTCATACTTGAGGAAACAGATACCCATGTGGAGAGGTAGTAGTCTTACTCTTCTTAAACCACATGGTCCAACTCCTCTGTAAGAGAAGTCAGACACACCATCTCAAGCCATCCAACTGCAGGTGCAGACCTTCAAAGGCCTAACTCACAAGCTTCCATTTCCTTCACTCCACATGGTTTCCTTAGCATCCGGTGTGATGGTTTATTTTTTCCTGTGGAAATGCTCACACCCTCACTACTGTAACTCCAGTCTGGTTTAGCAATCAAAACACAACATCTGCCCAGTAGGTTTTGCAAGTCTTTTAAGAAAACCATGATATTCATGCCAGATTGAGCCGTTCTTTCTTCTCCCCATGAAGGAAGTACTGGTTATGCATTCACTGAGCTGTAAATGTCTGGATTTTCTCAATGCATCTTCTAGGGCACCAGAAAGAGAGATTTTTGTTTTTCTTTGTTTCTCCCAAGGTACAGGGACAGCAAAATCAAATACCATTGGAACTAGTTCCTTCTTTCTATGCTATGGATGAAGACAGTTCTTGCTAAGCAATGTTTTTTGTTCTTGTTTGGTTGGTTGGTTGGTTTTTCAAGACAGGCTTTCTCTGGGTAACTTTGGTGCCTGTTCTAGAACTAGCTCTCATAGACCAGGCTGGCCTCGAAGTCACAGAGATCCACCTGCCTCTGCCTCCCTAGTGCTGGGTTTAAAGGCGTGCGCCACCACTGCCCGGCTCTAAGTGATATGTTTTAAAAGCGCCAATTCATCTGATCACCTTCACGAAGTACACAAGATACCTGCCAATAAGAAGCAATACATCTTAAATGTCATCAAATGGGCAAATGCTTTTTCAGAATTTTATCTAGTCCCATTTCCAATTTGCTTTTGAACTTACCCTTTCCTCTGCTTAGAATATATGGGTCCCCCTGACTTTTGATTTTGTTTCTATGATAAAAAATATCCTAAGCTATGTGATAGAAATATTTAGTCTGGTCTAACATACAAGACCAGCATCAGTTAATTGTGCCTGAAACTCCTTGGCCCTCTTTCAGCACCTTTACCCACAGGCCTGCTTTAAGGCTGAAGCCAGTCCTACGAAAATGGGTTGGATGGGAAGGGCAACACCTTTCCTTTCCCTCTGCAGAGCACAAGGGGAAAGGAGACTGAGAAACAAATGTTTCCAGTTGTGAGTGCAGTTGTAATTCTTCCCTTTCAACTCTCCACTCCATCTCTCCCTACAAACACTTTAAGGCCTGCTTGGGTTGGAGCTGCTGGGAGTACTCAGTCAGCAGCTTTTGACACCCCTTTTAGGTTTCTTTAAGTGTTCCTTGTTTAATAAATCCACTGTCTCCAGAGGCCTCTCCAAGCTTCTCTCATATTCTCCACAGCTCTAGCAAAGTTCTGCATACACAATTGGTATTTTCTTTAGGGGGATGAACTGCCCCTCTTAACTTTCTTTAGAGTTGAGCCTTAAACTTCCTAGGTTCCATGGATAGCATGATTAAGAATAACAGATAAGATCTATTGTGGAATATTTTTTTAACCATGTAAAGATGTGTTGCATTTGTTTAATTGTATAAAGATCTGTTGCCATTTTTTTCCTGCCTGAGGTACCTAATTGCTCTAATAAAAAGCTCAATGGCCAATTGCAAGGGAGGAGGTATAGGTGGAACTTCTGAGCAGGGAGAAAAAATAGGAGGAAGAATTTAGTCTAGGGGAGTAAGAAAAGAAGATGACAAGGAGACACCAGGAGCCAATCAACCAACCTGGAGGAAGCAGGAAAATAAGACATATAGAATGAAAGAAAAGCAAAATGTAAATGAACAGGTTAAATTAAGTTAATAGAGCTAGTGGGACAAGCCAAGATAAGAGCAAGCATTCAAATAACAAATCTCCATGTCTTTACTTGGGAGCTGGTTGGTGGCCCAAAGAAAATACCAGCTACGAAGATCTTTTAGCAAAATGTACAAATGAGTTAAAATAGCAACACAATATTCTGTCAATATGAAAGTCTTTCGTTAATGTAGAAGGGTGTGCATGCATGTTCTTGTAGGGAGTCTGACTTCCTAAAGTCTACCCAGTCCCAAACCCAGTAGACAAACTATTCCTTCAATACTCAGCTTTAGGGGTTGCACTCTATCATTGGTCTCATTTTGTAGCTGGTGGTTCCTAAAAGTAGAAGTATTTAAATTACGATGGGTGATGGAGGTGCACGCCTTTAATCCCAGCACTTGGGAGGCAGAGGCAGGCGGATCTCTGTGAGTTCAAGGCAAACCTGGTTTACAAGAGCTAGTTTCAGGACAGCTAGGGCTGTTACACAGAGAAACCCTGTCTTGAAAACGAAAGAAGGAAAGGAAGGAAGGAAGGAAGGAGGGAGGGAGGGAGGGAGGGAGGGAGGGAGGGAGGGAGGGAGGGAGGGAGGAAAGTTTAAGTTACTTATGCAGAGTTGGTTGTAAATTGCAGAGCTGCAACTGAATATGAAAAGCACTGTGAATACATTGGCTAGCTCACTATAATTACTGCATCAGCCTATCTCCCTGTAGATAGTGTTATTAGCTTAACTAGTAACTGGAACTGGCTATTAAATTTTATTTTTTGCATCTATCACCAGTGTTGCCCAGATAACAGACTTTAACTACAGCTTTGATCTCTGTGATTGATAGACATCTCCCACTGAATGAGACACGTCCTGCGTACAGGCCTATACTCGACTATAATCTTCTTACTAAATGATATGAGGCAATGACAAGAGCCAAGTCTTCAAAGTATTCTGGTCTTCAAAGAATTCTAGCCAGTATTTTAAACACACTTTCACATATTGTAATAATAATACAGTCAAGCACATCCTGATTGAAATTCCTGTTGACGACTAAATAAAGCTTTATTTAGCTATGATTTCTTATAATCAAGCTACAAATTTGAATGCTAGTTTACAGATTTCTTTCTGCAAACATTAGAAATAATATTGTTATTCGTATTAGCTCATGAGAAAGAAAATAAAATGAGTCAATTACTTTACCAAGAAGGTCATCCATAAACCACAGTTGTATCATGGTAACTTCAAAGTAAATATACTTGTAAGCAAGATGGCATGTCAGGGCATTGGACATATGAAGATTCATAGCTAACAGGCTACCAGGGATGTCAGTAACAGTTGAGAACAGAGAACTCTGCTTGAGGACAGACCCTGGTAATAGTTGTTAGAATTAATGTAGAATATTGAAATAAGTTTAAGAAACAAGAGAAACCAAGTCATGAAAGCTCTGTATTAATGGTTTAAGTGAATAAGACAGATTTAGCAGAGGCTCACAGCACTCTTTCTCGTGACCCTTCTGGCAACATAGAAGTAGCATTTCCAAGCTTGAGTCTCATTTCAGATCGGTGTATGAGACTTTAGGAAGAAAAGGGCTACTTGGTTAAATAATCCTGGGAAAACACTTCAATTATTACTCTCTCCTGTAGATTTAATGACACACACTGTATGCAAGTCTTAAGGAAATTGTGTAGAAAACAATCCTGCTGTAATCCCATTTAATTTAGCACTCCATAGATTCATTTAATGAAGACACCAAACTTACATGACTTACTGAACCACACTCTCAAAACTACTTATTCTCTGTTAAAAACACTTACTGCTTTTCACAGAGATTCAGACTTCAATTCCCAGCGCCTACACAGAGTCTTACAACCATCTATATCTCTAGCTCAACAGACCTATCATCCTCTTTTGTACCAGGCATTCATGTGGTACCCATACCTACTGCAGGCAAAACACTCACACGTTTAAAACAGATAAGTATTTTTGTCTATTTCAGATGTTTGTTTTAGATATAGCAGGAAGTTGCAATATCACTTCTAAAAAGCTTATTCTAAATGGGTGATGGTGCAAAAGATATTTGTGTCTCATGTTAATGCTGATTAAAAGATGAATTCGTAAGCAGAGGAGTTCAGTAATTAAGTAGATCAGACCTGTTCTGTGTTCTCTTTCCACAGCCATCCTTGATATTACCTGGGGGAGCCCATGAACAAAGTAGCCATGGTGGAAGACGTGGAAGTTATGAGTGGACTCAAGAATATGGATTTCTACTCACTAAGGCTGTGAGTGATAGATATGCTAAACCAACCTTGATCCCCAAATATGTCACCATTCCTTTGGGTGACCTGGTGGCAGATTGACCATGTTGAACCAGTTCCTCCATGGAAAGGACAGCCCTTTGTCCTTATGGAGAGATATTTGATATGTACTATAGTTATGGATTTGCCTTTCTAGCAGCTAATGCTTCTGCCAAAACCACCATCTGTGGACTTAAAGAATGTCATATCCGCCACTACCATCATAGTATTCCACACAATATTCCTTCTGACCAAGTAATTCGCTTCACAGCCAGAGAAGTGCAACCTTAAGCCCACAGTCATGGAGTCCCCCAATCTTACTATGTTTTCCACCATCCTGAAGCAGTTGGACTGATAGAAAGATAGAATGACCTTTTGAAGACAAATTTATAGCACCAGTTAAGTGACAGCAGCCTGAAGGGTTGAGCAGGGTTCTCCAGAAGATAGTGCATGCTTTGAATCAGCATCCAATATATGATATGCGTTTTCCCATTGCCAGAATCCACAGTTCCTGGAATCAAGGGGAGAAAGGGGAATAGTTCCACTCACTATCACCTCTCGTGATCCACCAGGAAAATTTTTGCTTCTTGTCCCCACCCCCTTTATGTTCTGCTGGCCTAGAAGTTTCGGGCCCAGAGGGTAGTACACCTGCCAGAAGTCACAATAAACATGCCACCAAACTGGAATCTCAGTCTGCCTCCTGCCCACTTTGGTCTTCTGATGCCCATAAGCCAACAGGCTAAGAAAGGAATTGCAATGATAGGAGGGGTTATTGATCCAGGAAACTGGATTTCTTCCCGACAGTGAAAATAAAAAAGACTATGTCTGGAGATCAAGAGATTGTTTAGGATCTTGGTGCTACCATGACCTGGGATTAAGTCAATGGGACAACACAACAACTTAATGTAGGAGGAACTGTGGGCTGACAAAGGGCACAGACCCTTCAGGAATGAAGGTATGGATAGCTCACCCAGGAACAGAGCTACAAACCGCTGACATTGGAGGAAATACAGAAGGGGCAGTAGAGAATGGCATTTATAAATACCAGCTACTGCCACAGGATCAGTTGCAGAGATAATGATTACAGTTGGCATGATGGTTTCTGTCATGTTTGTTAGGAATGTGTTTGTACAGATATTTGAATTTTTTTCCTTCATTTCTTTACGAAGCAATGTAACATCAATTAAAAGAATATCATAGGTTACCATATTTAAGCTTTTTAATACTAAAAGAATTTCCCTTGTCACCTATTCTGAAATTGATAATGTGGTTGTTGGGGGGTGTAATTATATCATGCTAGATAATTATTACCTGTATGCATATATAATTTACCTATGATTATATTTGGGATAGTTATATCATGTTATTCATAATTATGACCCACTTATTGTTTTATTTGGAAATTAAGTATATCATAAGGAGATATGATTGTGTGTCAGTTTGACAGGAAGTGGACTTGTGATGACTGTTCTTCCTTGTCAGCTTGGCTATATATGTAATTAACTAAAACCCAAGCAGCTGGCTACTCCTTGAGAGATTTTTCTTTAATTAAATCATTTGAAATGGGAATGCCTACCTTTAATCTTATTCTTTAAAGTGGGAAGGTCACCTTCAAGCCTGATTTCTTGACGTGGAAAAGAAATCAACTTTGATCTGGGCCACACCTTCTGTTGTCAGACTATATAAATGACACGGAAAAGGACGATTTCTCTCTTTGCTTGCTTGCTCTTGCTCTGACTGGAAAGTCTATTTCTTCACTAGGATTAGATCTTGCTTCTGGAATATACTAAAGACCAGATGAGATATCCGGCCTCGTGGACTGAAAAACTTTTTAGATTCTTGGACTTTCCATTGGTAGAAATTGTCATTCTAGTCAATCCGCTTTGCACAGAGAGAAGAGTGGGGGAGGAGAGCAGGGAGGGAGGAAGGGAAGGAAAGAGAGGTAGAGAAATAGAGACAGAGAGCAGAGATTCATTAGTTCTGTTCCTCCTGAGAACCCTGACTAATACACCAATCAATATATCCTTTGACTTTAAGGCACATTCCACAAGTTGGAGACCATACCCAACACCGTTTGGGTGACCAAGGACCTGAGGCTAAATAGCTCAGTGACCTACGGTGAACTAAATACTATTGTTCTGCTAGAAGAACGTAGCAATAAAATGATTCAAGATGACATTCTGCTATACTCATAGGTCAGTGTCTTGCTCAGCCACTGTCAGAGAAGCTTCCTGCAGCAGATATGAACAAATACAGAGATCCTTTGTCAAACAATATTCAGAGACTGAGAGATCTTGAAACATTCAGCCTTACAAAGGGATGTCTTCATCAAATTCCTCCTCTTGGAGCTCAGGAAAACCTGCAGAAGTGGAGGTGGAAAGAATGCAGGAGCCAATCGGTATGGTGGTCACCAGGAGAAGAAAGTATTCTAAATCCAGAAGGACTGAGGCATATTTGAACTCAGAGACTGACATAGGACGCACAGATCTTGCATGGGTGTGGACCAAATGGAGTCTTATAGATCAAAGAAGTGGGCCCATCCTTAACCCAGCAATAATCTACAATTGATAACCATTTGCAAATGAAAAATTAGATTTCCTCGAGGGATTTTTACTGGGGAAACAAATTGTTCTTGAGGACAGTCTGCATGCATAGCAGTAGATGGTTGACAAAAAAAAAATGAACCAAAAGTCATCTTTGGAGGTCCCTATTCGCATGTGCGCTTTAAATTTTCATTTTATTTTTAATTTTTATAATTTTATTTTACTGTATTTATATGTTTTTCTCTTCTTACCCTACAAATTCTTTGCACATATAATATTGTTTCCAATTTACTGTTCTTATGGGATTTCTGAGTAGACAAAGAAGTGTGTGCTGCATCTATTATCAGTTTTTGTGTCTTTCCTTGTACTCTTTCCCTTCTGTTTGTTCTGTCCTAGTCCTATGCATTAATTTTTATTTTATTTTATTATTACCCTTTACAATATGTTTGTTTTCTATGAGAGACATATGAGGGGGGCGATCCAAATGGGAGGGGCAGTGAAGAGGACCTGGGAGGAGTTGAGGAAAGAGAAACTGAAATCAGGATGTATCATGTGACAAAATATTCTATTTTTAATAAAAGGGCAGTGGGGGTGGATTGGCTATACTTAAAAAAAATTTATCTGACCAAATGTGACTTCCAAGAAACACTTGATATTTTTATTTGCTCTCATTTTATCTACACAATAGAAAGAGTTGAATGCAGTTGGCTCCTCCATTCTTTCCACCTCCACTTCTGCAGGTTTTCCTGAGCTCCAAGAGGAGGAATTTAAAAAAAAAAAAAAACTTTAATTGTTTTAATTATAACACTAACAAATATTTTTGAAGACTTAGTTTTTTGTCAAGTTCAGAAGAAAGCACGTATGTGGATTAACTATCTCATCCTCAAAGGGACTTGAATCTCTTGGATTTTAATTCATTTGTTCAGATTCAGGCAGCAAGTAAATAACTGAGTGAGAACCATCCACTGCATCACACAGCTTTTTATGTACATGGCTTTTATGAGTTAGGATACAATAGAGAACTTCCAATTTTTAGTCATCTAGAGAAACCAATTGTTGCCTTCTGATTCCCTATATATGTAGTCCCCCACATCATCAGACTCATCCCATCTGTTACAGACTAAATATGCCCCTTGCCAAAACTCCCGAAAAATATGATAGGATTGAGTATGACACGGGACTTTTGAAGGTGATTAAGACAGAAAGCCAAAAAGCTTATAGATGAGCTTTTGGGCCTGTCCTGAAACTTGCTCTGTAGACCAGACTAACCTGGAACTCTTGGAGATCCACCTGTTTCTGCCTCTGGAGTGCTGAAATTAAAGGCATGTACCACCACCACCACCTGGAAGTAATTTATTCCTTTGTAAAATTTTTATTGATTTAATTGAGCTATACATTTTCTTTGCTCTTCTCCATACCTCTCCCCTCCCCTTCTGCCCTCTTCCATGGTCCTCATACTTCCAATTTACTCAGGAGATCTTGTCTTGTTCCATTTCCCATGTATATTAGATCCATGTATGTCTCTCTTAGGGACCTCATTATTGTCTAGGTTCTCTGGGATTGTGAATTGTAAGCTGGCTTTCTTTGCTTTATGTCGAAAAGCTACTTATGAGTGAGGACATATGATATTTGTCTTTCTGGGTCTGGGTTACCTCACTCAATATGATGCTTTCTAGATTCATCCATTTGCCTGTGAATTTCAAGATGTCGTTATTTTTTCCCAACAATTCATTCTTAATCCAAAAAGATACAACACATCAAAAAGATTCTATAGAGACATACTTACATACCCATGCTCATTGAAGCTTTATTCACAATATTTAGGAATTAAACTAATCTATACATCTATCAACTAATGAATGAATAAGAAAAAAACTGTACATATTACAATGGAATTTGGGGGGCTTAAAAGTAAAACAAATGTCATATTTTTTTTGATCATATGTGGTTCCTAGCTCAAGTTCTTCACATTTTTGCACTTAGTGTAGAGTACACACGGAGGACAACAAAGTAGAAATGAGCCATGGGTGGTTCATGAGGGCAGGAAAGAGAGGAGAATGTAGATGAAATGTAAATGGAGAAGGAAAATACTAGGGGCAGATAGGGATGCGAGGATGCGGGAAGAGAAGGCAGGAGAAAAGGTTAACACAGTGAAGAATATGTAAAACAGCCATATTGTAACATACATCTTGCAACCCAATTAAACATTATAATTAAAATTGTTTTTAGAGCATATTTGGCATGAAAGAAGGGAAGAGAGGAAAGGCAGCATATTAAAAGTTGAAGTGAGCATTGGGACAGGGGGTTAGCGGAGAGAAGACAGGAGGTTGGTTACTTAAAACTAAGATCCGAAAAGCCACATGCAACAAAATTTTATAAGATAAATTTAAAATACAGGTTAAAGATGAAAAATAATTTTGAACAGTGGAGCCCTGAATGACGAACAATGATGTGCTTACAAGACATGGATTATTAAGCAAAATTCAATGTCAGACCTGGGCTACTACTCTACAAGGTATTGGTCAAGGACACGCCAGAGACCCCCAATACAATATAACCTGTTGGTATCACACACATAGTCTAGTTACACACAGTGACTAGATGGTAAGACTCTTTTAGAAGACACTAGTCACACTAATGTAAGGCATATGGAAATCCCTCTGGAATTGACTGGGAAACTTCCTTTCTGCTGGGTGGGCAGTTTTCAAAATGCAAAAAAAAAAAAAAAAAAAAAAAAGTGCTGTTCAGTGAGATGGGAGAGAAAAGCCAACAATGATCTTACATAGCCCTGAATTCTGCATCCTACGATACCAACCTGTTAGGCAGGATGTGCACTATGGTGCAATAATGGCATGCCTGTTACAGGAGTAATCAATAGCTTTCTCTGTTTTGTGACTTGCTCACAGGAGAGAATTCAAGCTTGGTACTGGAAATATGCTCAAAAGTTCATGACTACAGAGTCATGGAACCTAGGATAAAACACACTATCACTTCTATCATAATTTTATCAAGTATTCATGTTGCCAAACTGGCGTCTAAATTTCATGATTATTTGTACTGCTCTCGACCTTGCTCGGAGAAATTGCTTTTTGCGCTGGAATGTGGTCAATGCAGACTTATAACAAGTGTAAAAGCTGAGAATTAGGGAGCACTGAGTGTTTAGCCCTAAAGTGGGCATCCATATCATCTTCCCTCAGGAAACACTATAGAAAGGGAGGGATGAAAAACAATGTAGGAGCTGGAGGATTGGGAGGAGGGCTGTGAAAATGTGGCCTTGTGGACATGACATGAGCGTTGCACTCATGAATTTACAGCAGCTGTTGTTACCTTCATAACAGCCTAAAAGATCAAGGCAGTCAGACTTCAGCAAGGGTGAGGTCCTTATGAGGTTCCAGCTCTAGATGAGGGGGCGATTGGTAGTTGATGACTGCTGAGAGAGTAGGAATTGTTTTATTTAGACATACGGCCAATGGAGGGTTGCCTATGCTACAGTGGGTAGCCACAAATCCATGTGGAACTCAGGGAGTTACTGAGAACAAGAAAGCAGATGAGAAGTTGTGGCAGTTGGGTTGATCTAAGGGATACTAGAGAGAGAAGTAGGGAAGTTGATATGATCACAATATACTGAAAGCATGTAATAAATCAGAATGGATAAAATAAAAGAATAAAGGCTACTGTAGAAATTTATACTTTTGAAAAAAATATTAAACATATTATGAAAAATATTACAAATATAATATGTTTGAAAATTAATATTTTTACATTTGCTTATCTTCACTATAGACAGTGATATTGTGAATTCGCCTCTTTGAGACAGGTAAGTGAATTGAATCCTGTCTTTATATGGTTTCCACTCACCTACACTTACATTGTCGTTTCTACGTTGTCATTCACTTCCTTGCGTTTTTAGACTTATTTCCTCCAGTATTCACTTTTATTGAGAAAAGAACTTCAAATATATGCATTTCATTCCTTTTAATACTTTATAACTTGCAAATCCTTTCATATATAATTTTCACTTCTCCTTGGAACTAATACATATTAATGTAAAGTGTTATGATTTAGAATCCTGGGCGCTCAATATGTCTCCTAATTTAATCTTGTTTGGCTAATTAAATCCAGGGAATTAAATATACCTCTTTTTAAGTTTGAGAGTTTGTCTTATAATCTGGCATTGTGAGGTTTCGCTGAATGTACCTTTTCTAAAATAACCTTGTGGTTATTTGAAACCACAAGGAAAATTTCAAGTAATATAGGCATTGAATTTCTGTGTATTTTGCAAGCAAATAGCAATACTCTTAAATAAATAAGGGGGAAATAACTTTCTTTTCAAAATATTATAACACCTGAGAGAACATATATATACAAAATTCTGTGTTGTGACTCATATAACATTTTGTATATACTTTTAAAGGATGTCTCTTCTTAAAATGCAGACATTTTGTCTTTGAATTCAGAAGAAACCTGTGAACACATGGAGGAGTGTTAATGCTAAAAGTTTTGAAAATATTTTATGGCAGAAAGTTCTTTGTTCAGATGAAGTCTTCAGATAAAATGAAAGTGAAATTAAATTGATAATCTAGCAGAAGAAGGGTAGGCTGAGGTCTCTCTTCTTCTTGTACCATGAGTAATGCAAAACACTAAGGTCTATCGGTTATAGTCTGTCTGTCAGGTTAGCCCCAGGACTAGGGTCTCTGTAATAGAATAAGACCTTCAATTAAGTATATTGCTAAGAAGAAATATGTTCCCTACAAGCCTGAAAGATACAAAAACTCAACAGAAACAAACTTTGCAAAACATATCAAATGAAACAATGCAGGACAGAGAGCTGATATCAGGAAAGGTATTTCCAGAGCAGAGTGAGGACAGCTAAATGAGCAACAGGACCCATCTGGAGAATCTGTGATGTCTATCATCAGGAAATTCTGAAAGGACCTGCAGTCTCAGCAGGAAGAAGCCGAACACAGAAGTTCCAGAGCTTGTTATGTCTTGACAGCTGAAAGGAAACCTCTTAGGGACAATTAAAACACATCACAGAAACACTAAAACATATTCGGAGGGAAGAACGAGATGTATAAAAAGATCTGAGACCCCATTCATATGCTAGAAATTATAAGATGCTGACTCCATTAGACAGGATGGAGAGAGGAAAAGTATCCTACTGAAGTCTTTCACAGAAATGAGTTTATATAAGAAATGGTGAATTGGATATTGGAGGCCATGAACAAACATCTAGTAAAGCCAGAGTGACTAAGAGCAGAATCAGCTACCTCCAGGACTGTGAGGACAAAGGGTAAGAGATCATATCTCTTGCCAGAGGGGCAGCAAGGAGGAAAGGGCTCATCCCACCAGCCTGTTTGGTGTTTCCTGTGTTCAGTGCTTTCTAATTCAAGGGTTTTGCAGATACCACAGTGAATGAGGATAAATGCGCAATTCTCCAGTAAAAGTACCATCACCCCACCTTTCCTTTCCTCCAGACCCACTCCCTTTCTTTCTCTCATTACGAAAAAACAGGCTTCTAAGAGGTAGCAACAAAACATGACAAAATAAAAGATACTAGGATGAAGGAGAAAGTGGGAGTAGAGAGAGGGAAACTATAATCAGAATAATGTAGGCGAAAATAATAGATTTTCAATGAGAGAAATAAAGGAAAAAAGACAAAAAAGATTTTTAGCTAGTTCTCAGAGTAAATATAGAAATAAAGAAATGAGATAATCGGCCCTTTCCTGGTTGTCTGAGAATGATTTGAAAATTATTGTACCCAGTATGTACACAATGGGAGGGGAAATCTAAGTAACCTACCTTACCTAAAGCTAGCTGAAGAGATTCTTAACTCAGATTTGTTTGTTTGTTTACTACATCCAATCCTTTTGTTTGTTTGTTTTCCTTTTTTCTTTTCTTTCTTTCTCTCTCTCTTTTTTTTTTTTTTTTTTTTTTTTTTTGAGACAGGGTTTCTCTGTGTAGCTTTGGAGTCTGTCCTGGAACTTGTTCTTAGACAAGGCTAGGCTCAAACTCATAGAGATATGCCTGTCTCTGCCTCCCAAGTGCTGGGGTTAAAGGCATGAGCCACCACTGCCCAGCGACCCAATCTTAAACATCTAGCATTTTACAAACTTGAAGATCAAATTGCTTTATGATTTGAGCAATATTTAATAAAGTGTAGTCAGTTTAAAGTAACATTCTGTATGTGTTTTCTTGTTTTTTGTTTGTTTGTTTGTTTTCTTGCTTTTTTGTTTTTGTTTTGTTTTTAGAAGCAGGGTTTTTCTGTAGCTTTGGAGCCTGTCCTAGAACTAGCTCTTGTAGACCAGACTGGTCTCAAACTTATAGAGATCCACCTACCTCTGTCTCCCTAGTGCTGGGATTAAAGGTGTGCGCTATCATCACTAATGGCACTAGGTTATATTTCAATTACTACAAGATACTTCTCTTTCATAAGTGATATCAATAAGCATACTAAGTCAATAAAGAACATTTTCAAAGTGTGAAAAATGCTGTGTATTACAGGTCAGAGAGGAGAATGGTGTTATGCCTTCTCTATCCTTGAGACACTTCAGTGTCCTTCTAGCAAAACCCAGAGTAATATCACATAGCCAAACACAGCACACAGAAGCACACAGAAGATGGCTTTAAGGCTTCACATATAAATAGAGTGAGTTCTCACAGGTAAGTCATGCATGTGACTTTCAGTATGGTCCTAAAATTTTTCACCCAGCTGCCATTAGTAATATTTTTCTACCTTTAATTTTGTATTGTAAACGTAAAGTGTAAAAGCAGAAGATTTAAATGTGTTACACAATTATTCTCAAAAATTACACAAACTGTAGCCACCTCATCTTTCAAAAAATGTTTTTCAATACAAGCATTTATATGTACTTACATGTATATTAAGTATCTACACTAAAAATCCAGAAGTATTATGTTTGACTGGTACAATTTATTCCTACAGTTTACTGAAAGATGCTATCTCATTTCTTGTACATGAAAGCATAGTGCTCTAGTACATACAAGAATGATCTTTTTCTACTTTGATAAAATTTAGGTGTACATCATGCATTACAAAAGGCAGAAAGACCAATTATGTTAAGAAATTATGGGTGAGACACTTTAGATATCAAGAGAGGGACTGAAATTTCAATAACAACTGACAAAATTTTCTTCTCATATTTGAGTCTCTTATTTGTGCTTGGTTTAATGCAGAAATGTGGGTTTTCAACTCTGAAACCAACCTACACAGGTCTCAGTCTTTGGGTTTGGCTTGAATTATCCTTTCATTCACCAGATAATTGCTGTACTGAGTCAGGGACTGGGCAAGGGAGCAGAGTCACTGTGTGCTTTAGAAACCGAACAAACAGGAATGACAAGTGGGAAAGGACAGCTTTGAGAGGAGACTTAGGAGAGCACAAGAGAAGTTAGAAAGTAGTCAATCCAAGAAAAACACGTCATCCAGATACCCAATTGGATCCATAAAGGGGAAGTCATGGGCACTTGTTCCCTTTGTAGAGGCAAGTATCTGATGAAACTGTGAGACCACCCTTTACCAGGACACCCAAAAGACTGGAACTTCCTTCTGACATGCAAGCGAGGGAGCATGAAGCTATTGTGGAAATCAACTGAGTAACACATCATCTTTCCAGCATTTCATTGGCCTGCCAATCAACTTTTAGAGACGGCAGTATGCAGTTATCTGCAGATGACTTCTGTGGTGCTTTGGAAGCGAAATGTCCTCGATAGCTACATGTGTTTGAACTAGTGGTCCCCAATTGGTGGTACTGTTTGGCAGGTTATAGAGCCTTTAGGACATAGAGCCTTGTTGCAGGAAGTACATTCCTTTGGGTGGATGTTGAAGGTTTGCAGCTTTGTTGAACTCCCTGCTTTATCTCCTGTTGTTCTCTCTCTCTCTCTCTCTCTCTCTCTCTCTCTGTCTTTGTGTGAGTGAGCATGTGTAAATATGATCAGCCAACTTCCAGCTCCTAAAGCTATGCTTTCCCTGACTGTTCCCATGCCTTCCTTGTAATATGGACTTTATCCCTTTTCGATGGTTAGTCAAAATAAACCCTTTCTTCACGGAGTTGTCTTTGTCAGCACAGTTTTCCATAGCAATGGCAAAATAACTAATATAAATTTCCAATTTTCAAATCCCTTGGACATTCTTTTATCTGTTAATCATAAGTAAAGGATCCACCATTCTTAGCTTCAGCAGACTAAGTAGCCTGTCACAGATTCTGAGAGAAATTAGACTAAGTAAAGTTTAAGGCATGAATAGTAATGGGGCAGTGGTAGAATGAAATAATAAAATACTTGTAAATCTGTAAAGCTTTGAACAGTGTGTGCAACGGTACATATGCATGTATATGTGATATATCAGATTAAAGGGGGAACTTGTATGATCAATTTTCCTCAAGATAAATCAAGGCTATCATATGTACATTGCTGTGGATGCCACAAGAAGTTACCTTAGGTTTCTGACTGCTGAGAGGAAAACTATCCAATGGTCCCAGTCCCTAATCTCTGGAACCCACTGCCTTTATTGCATCAGAACCCCTTCTTCAACTTGAACCCCCAGGCCAAGGTCCAGGTGTGGTGATAAAAGTTAGGCGAGTGTGGTCCAGAATATAAATAGCCACGTGGAAATTTCCTTAAAATTGAAAGGCCTACCCTTTGTATAACATTAACCCCAAGGCAAACAACGGCCTTCTTCCAAAGAACAGCTATGTCTACTTGTAAAAGTCAAAACCAGGCATCTTGACTGATGATATTCCTTCGTAAAAGGATGGGAGAGTGAGTGTCATTGGATCTTCATCTGACTACCAAGCCAGTCCATTCCCAGACAGTAGAATGCCATTCTGCCTTTACTACGTGTGCTTGCTTGGTTTCCAGGAGAAACTGCAGAGCACTGACTGAAGAGAATTAACTGACAAGAGTGATCACTCTACACAGCCATGGAAGAATCAGCATCTGTTCCGGATGGAATGTTTCCACTGCCGCTGCTTTGGAGTCACCCATGCTCTTTAAGGCAGCCCAGTAACTCATGGGTTCTCCAGTGAATAGTGAAACTGAACTCCAGTTTGTCATCATGACCTTAGAAAGAGGTGTGTAGACTTTGCCTAGTCCTCCCCAGAAAGACACTTCTGGGAGTTGCTGGATATCATGATTCTATACCTTTCTTCCTATGCCACCTAGCCTCTCACTTTTCCTTCATACAACATCAGGCCAAGGCTCTTCCTACTCCCTCCCCTTTCTCCCACTTCTGATTTTTCAAATATGTTTAGCCTGGTATAGGTAGTTTCTTTTTCTTAAAGTATACAGACAAACACATTCTCAAGGAAAATTGTCATCATGTAAGAAAATAAGATAGAGCAGGAGGGAGTAGAGCACAGTTGTAAGTCTAGCATGTAAAAGGTAGAGGTTTGTGGATCAGGAGTTCAAGGACAGCCTTGACGACATAGAGGTTTAAAGTCACCCGAGTCCTCATCTCAAAAAAAGAAAGTAAAAAAAAATTAAAAAGAAAAAAAAGACCAGGAACCATGACTAGAAGCAACACTCTACTAAAGGAAAAATTAGTAAACACATTAATTAAAAATTACCCTTAGTCTACCAACAATGAATTCTTAATTTTAGACATCCTTCTTTGTGCAAAATTTAAATTATAGGTTATTTTTTTTTGAAAATGCAGTTTACACTTAGAGTTCACACATCCTGTTCTCCCTCACAGATGTCGGTCTAGCCAGCAAGTTCTATACTTAGGAGAGGAACATCCTGCTGTTTTGAGCCCATTCTGATAGAGCCCTGAAGAAACTCTTCCAAGCTTCCTTACAGCACTGGATCTTTAGAATGATGATATTATGGGGAGATGCAGGGAGGTGTGTCAGCTTTAACCATTCTTAATTGGGTTAAATTGAATAGGGAAATTTAATTTATTAAATAAATTAATAAAATAAATAACACAATAAGTAACATAATCAAATAAAGCAAATAATTAAATAAAGCAATTAAATTAAAGGCAATTTCATTTGAGCAGAAATTTGTCTTAGCTCACTGTTAACAAGGGAACATTGAATGAACCAGACCAGATCTATTCTGGCCTCAGGCACAGATCTTCTACTATTTAAGTAGGACTGCAAGGAATCAGTAACTGCTCATTCTTAAATTGTACTACCCATATCCCAGCCTTAGTTGGCATTATCATAATATATCTCCATAAATAGTCCTTTGATTTGAAATCTCCCCACTGGAATATAATTGGAAGTTCAAATGCTTTCATTTAAATCTGTTCAAGGGACATGAAGAAATACAGCACCCTTCTTACCTTCTTTTGGTGACGTTCTTCTTTATAGTAATATTTTTAGATAAAGATGAAGAGGTGATGGAGAGGCAGGAGAGAAAGAGAAGCAGAGAGTTTGTGTTTCAGGTGTGGGTTTTTGTTCTGTTATGATTCCTTGTTTTTTGTTTTGTTTTGTTTGTTTTCTTGCTTGCTTTGTTTTGTTTTGTTTTATGGGAGACATGCAGCAGGGATGGGGGATGGTGGGAGGGCCAGAAAGTGAACAAAACTGGGGTGTATTCTGTGAAGGACCCAAAGATTCATTAAAGAAATTAAAATATAAACGGTGAGAAAATCTTTTGCAAGAAGCAGACAGACAACATTTTCCAACTAGACAAAATAAAAAATAAAAAAACAGATCTAGAAGGTAAAATTATATTAGAAAAAATTAACATCTTCTGCCTTACTGACCAAAGTTGGTTTCCTTGTCTGAAATGTTATTATCTCAGTTCCAATATTATCCTTACCTTTGTTTATTCTTTATGATATCCGATCTTTTTCATTCTGTCTGTAATAATAAATTGTTTGTGAGTTTAAGCATTCTTAGATATTTTGGGCGTTTTGAAACGCAGGGTAAGAGGTAGGTTATAAACTTTCTAGTGTATTGTACTAATATTTACTCTATACAAACCACAATTACACACCACTAAAACATGTTTTTAGAAAGAATTAATTCTTGCCTGAGATTATTGCCCTTGCTAGTAGGCATTCACAAGGTCCTGAGTTCCATTGTCAATACCATAAACAAATACACAAATATATATATTAAAAAAAACTGAAGGGAGTTGTAAGGAAGTCAAGAGTTTCAGTTTAACTAATCTGGTGATTTTATAGCACAGAATTTTTTTTTTTTTTTTTTTTTTTTTTTTTTTTTTTTTTTTTTTTTTTTTTTTTAGAAACAATGTATACCCCTTCTTTGACCAGAAAAGACACATTGAACACATGGAACTGGTTGGCTGAAAAGAGGTGTCATTTTCTCTTCAGGATCATCATTTGTAAAACAAGGGAGCTTCACTAGGGAGCCTTAAAGGATTATTTCTAGTTTTAGAACTGTACAATTCCTTCTAAATTTAGTTTTTTTTTTTAGATCTTGCCACTTAAACACCTAATTATCCCGGGAGAACACAGTCAGGAAGGGCAAAAAGAGATGGTCTTTCTCTGTGGGAGTTTCAAAAGTCCTGTGTATTTACAAAGACACTCTCAGGAAATAGACTGGACTAAAGCATTTCCTTCCAAAATAGATTAGAATATTCTTTCACACAATAAAGTTTTTGAGTTCGAAAATCCCAAATTTCCATTTAAGTATCTGGTATTATGAAAATAAATCCTTATGCAGTGAAAAGACCTAATTCCTTTGAGAGAACATGACCAAAAATATCCACTATTTCTTCATCATCACAATAATTTTGTGATACTATTACTAGTTTAAAATCATGCTTTTTGATGGATCATGTGGAACACCCATATTTAAGCTTGATAACAAAAGAAAAAGTCTCAGCAACTATTTAACAAGTTATTGTATAGCAATTTACATTATTTCAAGCATAATGATTAATGCTTGTTCTAACAGTCAATATAAACAAAAGTACCACACATGAAAGAATTCACTATTAACTTTGTTGTGAAATATGGGATTATCTTTAAACATGCCCCTACAGGCCAAGAACTACTCATTTGCCAATAGTACAAAAAGGACTCTAAAGGCAAGTATATGTACACACAGGCAGCTTATATAACATAAGCCAGTCTTTCCTTGTTAGCTAGCTAGCACTTCCTTGTAGACTAAACACAAACAGGATATGTGACGCATATAATCGAGTATGTATGAATGGGGGTTTTATCAAATGCCTAAACAATTAAATAAGTCAACATAAGCAAAAGACTAATGCTTAATAAAATGTGTTAAAGGGATAAAAATGTCTTAGGTTCTTTTACTCAATTTAGTGTCAAAAATTGGATTTATCAGCACTCATCAAAGCAGAAAGGCTTTCCACAACACATAGAGTACATGTGAGCATGTTATATACATATGTACACATATTTAGATTCACTAATTTTCATTCCTTTTTCTGGAATATTGTACAACTGCTTGATGTGGTTACTGATATTTTATCTGAAGCCTCATAAAGGGAATTATCTACTGGTGGGATCCATTGTGTCTGAACTTACGAAGTGTTGTAAACTGTATTGTATCTTGATGCTTTGGGTTTCCAAAAAAGTATAGTTCTCAGACCTGTGAAGAAAATGGTATTTTTATGCAACAGAAACAATCACAATACTTGATTGATGGCTTATAAAACATCCAAATACTTTGGGCTTCAACAATTGTCTCAGAAGTATGCAGGTGACTATCTGATAGTATTAGTTTTGCATTTTATAGCCCCAAATTATTATAGGGTGAACATGGGATGTAAAGTCACATGGACACTTAATATATGGGAGAGCTAGAAATTCTAGTAGAATCTGCAGATGGAACAGATTTGAGTAAAGAAAAACCCTCTCAATGTCTGACATGTTGTAGGTCACAGAAAACGTGATTGTACCTATTGGTCTCGTGGGAGCCTAGGCAGTTTGGATGCTCACCTTACTAGACCTGGATGGAGGTGGGTGGTCCTTGGACTTCCCACAGGGCAGGGAACCCTGATTGCTCTTTGGGCTGATGAGGGAGGGGGACTTGATTGGGGGAGGGGGAGGGAAAGGGGAGGTGGCGGTAGGGAAGAGACAGAAATCTTTAATAAATAAATAAGAAAAAAAGAAAAAATCTCAAAAGTATAAAAAAAAAGAATTTTGTTCAAACTCGTATCTATGAAACCTTTTCTGGACCAAGCAAACCGAATTATGTCTAACAGGTTGAGATTCAGGATCAAACAGAAGAGTATCATCATAAAAAGTAAGTTGGCAGATAACCTGGAGGACTCTTCTGTCTTAAGATGTGGCTGTCTCACAGTTATGGTTCCCTTGGAAACAGGGTATGCTTGGTACAAGCTGTAACATATGAGGAGGGACAAAGCTCCTTCACAGTTCATTCATGGTGGCTGAATCCCAGGGTCAGGTCCTCCTTGTTTTACTGTTGAATTTTTCCTCACAGTTACATAGTTGTTTCATGTATGGTTTTACTGTTCTTCCATTAGTTTTGGACTTTGCCTCAGGTTGAAGCTGTTGGTGAGGATTATTTATACTGTTTATATAGAACATGTTACTGTACTCAGTTGCCTGTATTCAATGTGACTCTCCATTCCTTTACTGTCCTTGCTTAATCTAGTCTAGATATTGCGTCAAAACTCTAACATGTGACTAATTTCTTTCTTTCTGCTTTTTTTTTGAAGGCCAATATTTGGTTTCTTCTGTTTTTAAAAAAATGCAAGTTTACTCACTCAAAATGCCCACTTTAGGGTGTTTGTTCTCTAAAACTGTTGGTAGAAAGAGGGCAGTTTCATGAATCTTTGGAAGCAGAAATCTGGTGGTCAACAGCTGCTTTTTCTGGAGTGGATGGTTCTCGGGAATCTTGTCATGCCATTTGTGCTCTTAGTAGCTCACAGGTGATGCCAATTAAAGCTCTTCTCAAAAAAGCTATAATATCTGTCATTGGCTCAGAGCTTACATTCAACTGTAGGCGATTTCTCACCGTTATCCCAGCAAAGAGACCACATCATGTTAGGAGGCAGAAGGGACACACTCTAACACATGGAACTCATTGTTCTGATTCTGTGTTGTTTCTTTGTGTATCATACAAAAGGCTATTGACATAGTTGTTGGATCAAGTAATAGCTCTAAGTATCTGTCTTCAAGGTCATGGAAACAGACTCTGTTTCTTTGCACAAAGATAAGGATTCCAACTCTCATTTTAAAATTGTCAGTGGTAGTCCTATTTGTGAATATC